TTTGCAGGCAGGTGTGTGTGCTCAGTCTCAGGTTCAGGCTGAGTGCCAGGATTTGGCAAGTACCTGTGCTTCAAGCACAGCCACCACGACAGAGCCCAGAGTCTTGCTGCAGACAAACCAGTCCACCATCAAATATCTCTGACCAAATACAGAGTGTGTGGTTTTTACACATCAATGGATACAAAGCCTATGGAGCTCAGTTAAGGAACCTTCTGCCAAGTCAACACTGAACTCACTGGAAATGACCTGTGATAGTTTACAGAAGGTCTTAAAGGAAGTCTGAGTTTAAAAAGTTTAATGCAGTCCTCTACCATTGAACCATTTCCCCCTCCACCCTTCTGCTCTTGGTATCTAAATTCTTTAACAACCTTCTGTCAGATTGGGTGTTCTTTCTTTTGCTGAGGCCAGAGCAAATCTGCTGCACAGAGTCCTGAGATACCTAATTTGGAAACAGTTGCTGCAGTTGTCTCAAAATGTACATGGGGCTTAGAATGAACTGCAGCAACCCTGAAGCTCAGAATAGCCAATGAACTTCTGTATGGACTTCCAGAATGATGGCAGGAATGTGCAGGCCATGGACTGGACTCTGGCCTGAGCTTAAGCTAAGTGATCAAGACATGGATAAATGATGGGACATGACACAAGAAATTGCTGAATATGACAATGTAAGAAGCTGACAAAAAAATTCAGAGAGCACTGTGAAGTACAGCTGGATCTTGCAGAAGGTAAAGGAGGAGGTATTTGAGAAAAGGTTGAATTTCACAGGTGGTTGAAAGGGAGTACTGGAGACATTTTTTGTGCAACAGTACCTGGCTAACCCTATCTGTGATACCATATGAAGCTGAGATTACCTAGAAGTACCAGATTTGGGTACCAATATGACAAAGCTGGGACCAGCTGGGGAAAAGTAATTAGGGATGAGTTGTTTATTTGAGAGGAGGTAGTGAAAGCAAGGTAGAAGTGTGGTGAAAGGGAGGATGAGGAACAGGAAAAGGGATAAAATGTATGCAGCTGATATAATCAGATCTGTTCAGGACACTAGCTGGGGAGTAATTGTTTCCTACAATCTAACCAGGACATTAAATCAAGCTTGTCTGGCCCCACCACACAAGTTCATCATGCCTCTGCAGGATGGAAAGGGAGGATAAGGGGAAGCTTTCCTCTTTGGGCAGAGGAGCACCCAGATGGACAGATAAACATTCTGGTCCTGTCAGGTCTATGCCAGGCCTATCCCAGAACTGAGAGCATCACCATCACTTCCTTACAAAGCACAGAGCAACTCACTTTATTGCCATAAGCCATGGCAATAAAGAAGTAGATGGGGTTATAGCTGAAGCTCCTTTCAATAATACGTTCCCAGAATGATGATGATCCTTTCTTTAAAAGTAGCAGTAGTTCAAATAACATGTCATTGGAAGGATCGTATCCAAGTTAAACAATCATCAGCTGTTTCAGGCAAATATGTTATTACAATATGTTTCTTAGGAAATTAATGTGAATGAGTATACATGCTGTTTCATTTAAGCAGATTACTGCAGCCTCCCCCCTGCATCTTAATCCTGCACAGTTAGCACAATGTTTCCTTGTCATCGAGTTACTTAATTTGGTCTGTTTGTTTAAGTGTTTTGATATTGTTACTTATTTTGTTTTTCTGCCCTGGATCACTGCCCTCTTTCTCTCTTCTTTTGCACATGACTAGATGACACCTGATAAAGCAAGACAGCATTCATTACCATGCACAGTTTATTTTTCTTTTCTGAGACAGAGACATGCACTGAAGCAATTGGTTCCTACTTCTTGTGTTTAAGGTAGATGGCCCTACAGGCAGTGTTTATGAGACATTGGAGGGCAACTTTTATTGGAAAAGCTTTGTTCCTTAGCTGGAATGAAAACTGAAATTTTTGCAGATACTAACATTTCCATACCATATGTCTCTGAAATGAAGCTGTGCAGAGGAAGACTGCTAGTAATATAGCATTGCTTTAGTCTGTAAAGTTTCCTGCTTGGTAAAGAAACCCTTTTTGCATCTGAAAAACATCTATGAAACTCAGATATTCCATGCCTGGTAATTAGCATGTAAGTTCAGCTTCCCAAGAAGTCATCTGTGCTATGCTGATAAATAAAATGCAATAACATACTTTGCCTCCTCAGCATCTCTGTCTACATTACCCAAGCACCTATTTTTCCTTCAAAATTATAAATTAGCTAGCTCTTTCTTATACTAGGAATGATGTCAGTTTTCCTGCCTTAATAGCTAAAAGGCAGAAAATATTGCAATACAAATGGTGCTCTCTTCTGTTTGGATCAGCATCTGCTACAATACAGAAATCCATAATGAAGTGTTCAGGAAGTTTTGTAAAGTTCCCTTTCCAGATGTACCCACCAGGTCTCAGGAAGAAGCCTTATTTGTCTATCTTGATTTTGTACCAGTACTGAGTCACAGTTAAAACTCTTCATCCCAGTAACAGAGAGAGAGAAAAGCATTAATGTTTTATTAATTCTTAACCTTCTGACTATCAGAATTTAGTGGAGAAAAGAGAATGAAGCAATTGATCTTTCATAACAAATGATATCTGACGGCATATTGGGAGTTGACAAGAGGCTTTCATACTGTAGATCTTTTCAGATGTGTCATTCAGCCATAATGAAGCACTGAACTGCAGCAACTATGGCAGCTTGTTCTCAAGAACTGTAATCATTCCTCTACTATTAGGAATGGATGTCTGTAAGTGGGGATTTATTTTCTCTCCTATTTTTTCTATAGGTATTTGATTTATAGCATATCACTTCTTAAACTGTGCTTAAAATACTTGTAAAGCCTTTGTAAACATACTTTTATTAAATTCCGTGGGAGAGCTGAGATCTGATTAAGGTTCACATTAGTCAGGAGAATAAAATGATAAGAAAGATTTTCCTGAAGGAAATGAGGAATTTACATAAATGCAGTTCATGCCATGTGACATCATCAGGAAAGTTTCATGAGAGAGAACTGCTAATTCCATTAGTAAAGAAGTTGTAGATGTGCTGCAGAATAGTTTATTTGGATCCATTTAGTCCGTTCATAGATGAGTAAAACTATGAAGTAAATGGGAAAAAAGTAAACGAAAAAGCCAAAGAAATAAACCAAGAGGTTTTAGTCCCCACTGGCATCAGGGAGTATTACCCTTCCCAGGGCCACGTAGCATATTCTGTGTTTCAAAAGCAGCTGTGTCATTTCTCATGCTTTTCCTGAAAAATATAGGGGGGTGATGAAGGGAAAAAAAGATGTCGTTGCATGTCAGTGCTGGCCAGCAGCTGGTCACCCATTTTGCTCAGACATAAGGCTGTCCCTGGGGACATCAGACGTCTGGCTTCTACTCTTTGCTCACCACACTCATTCAGTCAGTTCATTTACTAAAGCTTGTGTTCTGCTCTTGGCAAAGGCTTTCAACTGTGTTTACACAAAATTCAAAAGATCTCACTAAGTCCTAGCTTTAAATTCCATTAGCCTAATTGCTAGGGGTAAATTGAAAGTTTGTCATAGTGGATATAAATTTCTACATTAATTTATACAAAATATATCCCATCTTGCTGTTTGTTTAGAAACTTTTTAAAATAGGGTTTAAAAAAAAAGATTTAGAGGCATCATGGTTAGAAAAATAACCTTACCTGCATAAATCAGCAGACTGCTGACATATGTCTGCAGGCAGCAAAACTTTCCCTAGGTATATATATGATTACTTGCTTCTTTCTCCACAACAGCTCAACATAAAGGATGGCAGGAGAACTCACCAGTGGATGGTCCTGAGTGTTTGGGGTGCAGCTGCCATTTATCAACCACATTAGTACATGATCTGATAGATTTTGTTGGCTTTTAAATTGTGGGTAGGTTGCTAAATTTCTACCCTAAATTCAATGGGTGTTGCATAGCATTTAAGGTAATAACAAGATTTCTTTAATGTAAAATGTAACCAGAAAAACTATAAAGCTAAAAAATTACCTACGGGTTAAATGAACTATGGGTTTTGACTGTAGATATCTGAAGTAAAGCTAGATTTTCTATCTGTGCTTTGTTGAAGAATGCATAATTATTACCCACTGACTAGCCAGCCTACAGCAGTGGGTGTTAGCAGATAGTTCCCAGGAATCCAGTATATCCCAGGAATTCCCACATCTTGCATGCACAAAAATTGAAAGGGCTTTGCCATAATGGCTTAACCATCTTTTAATAAAATATTAAAATTACCATGCCAAACTGCTAAACTCCTTGCTATGAGCACACTAGCAGCAGACTCAGCCACAGCTTAAAGCATTTCCCAACAATGTGTCAAGTGATCAATCTGTCACAGCACCAATACTTTCCTCTCTAGGGCAGGTTTTCCATCACATTGGAAAGACAGAGTTGCTGAGATAATCGAAGACAGTTTGCAGTGGTGTATATTAATTCAAGACCATACCTAAGTGATATCCGTTCCTTCAAAATTCCATTGCAGCTGTGTAACACATGCTTAGCTACTTATATCATTAAAATCTGGTTTTTATATGTTGGTTGTACCAATCCTTCCAGAAATGTCTGATGAATCTTTATTAGCTACATCAGCTTCCTGGGCAATCATTACTTCTTTATTACTTCTTTATTATTTTCCTCTAAACAGCAATTTAGTATTTAGAGAGAAGTGAGTAATAGAAAAGAATATTACTTTTGTATGTATGATAAATTAAAAGCATCAATTTTCCTTTAAAAGATGCAGCAGTTGTAGTACTCTAAGAGATTTATTCCTTTCTGTGCAAGCTCTGATACAGGAGGTTAAACTTGGCTTGGAAGCATAGTAATTTCCCTACATTTTTTTGGCTGCCAAATTATAACAAGTGAGCTAGCAGAAAACTTTTTTCTTAGGCATAAACCATTTGTCCAGTACGGACAGCAGCCAAGGAGAATGGACTGAGGTCCACACCTCTGAGTACATCAGTGTTGCTGCAGCAGTAACCTGGAATCTAACTGGACCAAAATCTTTAATGCCATGAAGGAGTTGGAAGGCTTAGGACCTGTCTACAGGGAAAACTCAGCAGGAGTGAGAACCAAAACTGGAGAGCTGAGACAGAAAGGATTAGAGGTCAACCAAGGGGAGCAAATGTTGACTGTAGAGAAAAGACTAAAAAAGAATAGGGGGTAAGGGAAAATTATTTCCAGAAACAGGTAAGCCATTTCAGAATTCAGAATTTATTAGTAGTGTTTTCTTCTGATCTGGCAGTATTTAATCCTTACCTATTGATTAATGCTTACCATTAAGGATTCTTGCAACAAAGGTGAGTCCTACCAGAGTTGTAGCTGCATTTCACCAAAAGCAAGACCTGGTGGCTGAGAACAGCAGCAGCTTGGGAGCCTTCCTAGAACAGTGAGCCAGGACAGGCACACTCAGCAGTGCTGTTTCTAATTGGCCAAATATAAATATTTCCTCAGCAGGCTCAGACCCTTCAGCAAAATAGGAGAGCTCACGAGATATTTAAGGGACAAATCTCTCAATGTCAAGGGAAATTCTACTGTTTAAAATTCGCAGATAATATAGAAGCTGTAGATAAATTGTTTAAAAGGCATTTTAAATGGAATTTTGATGGAACTGTAGAAATAAAGATATGCATGATCTCCAAGGTCTCTTGGAAGAGACACACTGATTATCAACAGTACAAATTAAAAACTAAAAATGTAGGAAAATGTCAGAAGTCAAATTGACCATGTAAAGTTATTTCATCCTTCTTGTATGTGGCTGATATTTTAGTTACATGATCATCCCCTCTATTTTCTGTGGTCTCCAGCATCCCATAGGCCATGACAGATGGTGGTCATTGAATGGTCAGTTTCTTGTTTCCAGTTTGCAAAATTATGTCCATTGAGATCACAGAATCATAGAATGGCTTGAGTCGGAAGGGGCCTTAAAGGTCATTTAGTTCCAGCCCCCCTACCATGGGCAGGGACACCTTTCACCTGAACAGGTTATTCAGAGCCTCATCCACCATGACCTTAAACACTTGCAGGGATGAGGCATCCACAGCTTCCCTGGGCAATCAATTCTTGTGCTCCTCACAGCAAAGAATTACTTCCTGTATCTTACCTAAACTTACTCTATTTCAGTTTCTTTCTAAAGAAAGTTAATAAAATCAGCTACTATTATCTAGAACCTTACGTGCATGTATGAGCAGCTATTTACTTTGCAAAATTTGTGCAAATATTAATGGATAAAGCAAAAGACATGCCCCAATATGAAGATCAACTCTTTTCTCAAGTCAACTCCCCTCTTGAATGCATGAGAACAATGAACTTTTCAAATTCCATTAAAGGTTTAAACATGAAAAAACAGTGTATTTTACCTGATCTCTCCTTGGAAATAGATTAATAATTTCGGGAAAAAAACCCATTCTTTGTTTGAGGCAGATGTTCAGTATGGAAGATGTCAGCCTGAATGGCTTAACTTAGAGGGAATGAACGAAACATTTGCATAGAAATGGAAGGTCAAGCTTGACACTGATCTGTAAAGAGCAAACCATTTCTATGGAAGTGCATAATTCAGCAGGAAGTTTAGAAGCAGAGCTCTAGCTCACTCGACATTTTGCAGGTGCTGAAAAAGAGCACAATTACAGTAGCTATCTGAACCTAATTACTGTCCCTTTGTAGTGCTGCAAAGAGTCTTAAAGTGACAATGCCATTTTCTGTTATTGGCAGTGATAAAGTCATACGAGTTGTTCCTGAGAGTGAAAGGGAAGCACAGATCCTGAGGGCTGCATTCAACAGGCTTAAGGTGAGTTTGATTATTTTCATCTTCTTTTTCTGATCTTTTTTGAAGGCTATAGTGTGTTAACTGACTTGTCTTTCATTTGGCACTTCAAATTATTTTATTATCTGGAAAGAAGTCTTTGCCCATTAAATTCCTAATTTACCAATAAAATAGCATAGGTATTAGAATCATCATACCTGACAAATTTAACAACACTTATTTTCTTCAGGTAATACAGATGCCACATTTGTAAATTTGCTTTCTTTGCTCTTCCACTTCTAGCTAGCATGTATAGTTGCTTCATTATCTGTTCAATGGTGTTATATAAAGCACTGAGTTAATTCAAGTTGTGAACACGTGGAGGAATATGAAAAAGGCTTCAGTTTGAGAATCTCTCTGGCAGAATAATTTTCTAGAGGCAGTTGACAGAGTGTCGAGGATACTGAGCCAAAATCTTTCTTCCTTGGCCTTTCCCTGCAGATATAAATGAAAAGCAGCAGTGCCACTGCAGCAGTGCACTGGAGCACTCTGCAGTATGCTGCTTTGCTGGCACAGCTTACAGAGGCAGAGGCAGTCTTTCCACAGCAGCCTGGCCACTGTCTCAGAGGATGGGGACTGCCTGCAAGCCAGGTCTATGGTCCCAATAAAGGACTGTACTATGCACATGCACCAGTCCCAGGAACGGTGGGAAAGGGATAAGCTTCATTAATAGTCACCAAAACAGCCCAACTGGAGCAGAATCAGGGAAGTAACAAACTTGATCAATATGTTGAGTGTCACAGCATTTGGAGCATGTGCAAAAGCTTTGGGCTGCTCACTGCCTTCAACTCCAGCAAACTATGAGGCAGTTCTGTGACATAATTCTGCCTGTGTTGTTGAAACCTTGCATAGATGGTTGTGTTCTCAGCGAGGAACAAATGAAGGTGCATATAATTTTCTAGTCCAATAGTTAATATCTGAGATACAAGTAAATCAAGTCTCTGTCTGCTTACCAAATAAAACAAAACAAAGGTGTTAGAAGAGCTCTTACATGCTCCTGAATCTCTTCCATCTTTCAGTTATAATGAAGATTTCTTGCTACTGTTTTTTAAAGAAAATGGACTGAGCTACCTTAGGTATCTCAGCCCAGGAGAAGTGTTAATGCTGTCAATACTCCAGCAGTCAAGACACTGACACCTTATTAGCTTTAAGTAGGAAAGCTGAGGCTGTCTTCATCACATCTGCATTTCTTAACACTGTGTTTGATTAATTCCCTATTTAAGATGCTGTAGTTTGTAACCCCATTCTCAAGACATCCAGCCTTGTTGCACGTTGCATAAAAAATTTCAATGTTCAATGGAGGCAGTGTCATGATGCCATGGATTACCACACTTTGCATTGTAATGCCCAAGGAACATTGTCTCCTATTTATTTCTGCACTGCTTATTAAGGACCTGACCCTCGCCTGTGAATGTTACTGTAACACCCCCAAAAGATACTTGTTTTACTCCGAATTAGGGAAAAAACCTAACCATAAACCCAAGCAATACACGTGGAAGCTGGTTTTTGCATTAATTTCTCCCCCCTGGATGTTGGAACATAAAGAGGGAGCACATGTGTTTTTTCCTTTCTCCTCGTATTGTAAACCCTGCGAAGCAAAGGGGTTGCTCACCTTCCTGTAACTGTTTCTCATTACAGAGCTTCCTTAGGCTCCCAGAAAGAGATTCCTTCAAATCAAAGTGGGAGCAGTAGAAACTTGAATAAATAATTACATACTGTAACTCCGAGAGCAGGGTAATAAAATTTTGGCAAACTTCATCGGAATTTGACTAGTTAATTAGAAAATTATTGATTCTCATGAGAAACTAAGCTGAGGAGGTTGAAAGGAAGACTCCAAAAAGAGAGAGTTTAGTGATACTCAGTTTCATGAACACACGGTGTTATCCACCTGAGTGGACAACAAGAAATAGATATGTTCAGTATTAATTAATCATATTTCCACTCCACAAAAAAAATCTCAAGTTATTCCCCTATGAAGAAGTGGATCAATAATGACACGCCTCAGAAGTGCCCAGTCCTTACAACATCAGCAAAAATTACTTGTGGCTGCAAGTGATCAGCCCTTCTGGACAACCATGTATTTGGAGTTGTGCAATTTTTAAGTCTCCCTGTCAATTCTCCCCTGTCCTTCTCCCATCCCCAGCCTTCCAGAGCTGAAATTCAATTGGGTTCATGTTCTGTTTTTTAAATATGAGCCTTTGAGAACAATGTTGATTATATCCTCTGGAGGAAATGGAAGACAGTGCACAAAAAAAAGCCCAAAACCCTCAATAGTGCAAAATAAGCTGCAAACAGACCCCAGATATAGTCTTGTTGCCATCTTAACACAATCTGCATGACAAACAGAAATATGAGCAGGAGTGTCAACAGAGATGTATGAATTGCTATAATTGCAAAGACTGTACTTTGGATTTTTTCATTTTTGAGTCAGAAAACCAGAACTGGTTTAAAGACACATCTCCTTTGAATCTATTCTGGTTTGAGCACTAAATTAATACCAACCTGTTATATTACTCATACATTCTGCTCCTCAAGAGGGAAATAAAGATGAAACCAGGATCCTTTCGAGATATTACAGTTTTGTTATGTTACTCAGTGTTGTGCAAGATTCAGTTTTCAATCTGATTTATGATATGGCCTGATAGTATTCTCTACCATTGTCAGTATTATAAGAACAAGAAAAGTCAATAAAAATAAAACTTACATTACTTTTGTTGCTGAATTGAGAAGAATACGTGCTCTTGGGTTTCAATTCAGACCTGTTTCTCTATCCTGGAAAGTCAGTTTATTAGAGATGAGGTATATTTCAGAGGACCAAAAGTTACACTGTCTAGGAATGTCAGGATTAGTCCCCATTAGTCAAACAGGAATTGTGATCAAAAGTCACTTGGGGAGCCCAGTTTACCCGTGGTGTGATCCATGCACAACATAAATATTTTGAATACATTTTCAGGACAGTGCAAGCACAGAGTAGATTCTGCACAAATGGATTGTATGCTTGTTTCAGGATTTCCTTGCACAGACCAGACTATCTGTGGTAATAAGGCAAAGGGAACATAATCCATTCTGTCCCAGGCTTCCTCCTCACTGTGTCTGGTCAAGGGAGGTTTTCTACAGACTTGTGGTGCTCTGTGTTCATTCCAGCATTTCCTTCTGCCTTTAAATTTACACTTGTAAGGCAGAGTGACTTAGCCTTTTCTTCTGGCCTACCTCTCATAATCCAAAGAATTATAAGCAAAACTCTCTGTTCAGTTCAGATGACCCTATCCTTCTGAAGGGCATTATCACAAAGAAGCTTGAAAAAATAATCCTGATAATCCTACTGCAAAGGCAGTGTGTTTTGGTGTCAGGCAGAGAATAAGGCAAATGCAAAGATACCCCTCCTTATTGTCTACTGATTTGGACAAAGGGAAAAGAACTGAGAAGAAAATAAACAGGCATTGGAAAGAACAGTAATCTGTCATTTCACTCATTTTGATTTATCTTCCAGCTTCTTAATTACTGTCCTTACCACTGATTTTTCTTGAGTAGATTTTGTCATTTGCAGTCTGCTCTAACAGCAGGGCAGTGGGGAAGGAAGTGGTGAGACCTCTGGTTTTTGCCATGCTGAAGCCAATTCCATAGAGGTCAGCAAGGTCCATCCCTTTTGGGAAAAGCACCAGACACCAAAGGTGACACCAAAGTATTTGGTAAAATACCAAATGTGATCTACAGACACACTGAGAGATCCTTGAAGGATCATCTTGGAATTGGCTATATGTCTTGATGTATTTGAAGTATCTTTTAATGTGTCCCCGCTGATTAACTTGGACAGCGACAGTTGAGCTAAAACACAACCACAAAATTCATATAAGAATTTGAAGGATTACTCAGGGTTTTCAGTCCACATGGAAACCTTTTGACGTCAAATAGGACTGCTCTTCTACCAATACCTGAGCTGTAAGGTGAATTCATACACTTTTACAGAAGGTGTATTCCATAAGAACATCTTAAACCTAACATCTGGAGCTCCTTAGGAGAGATATTTGCCCCCTTTTATAAGAAAAAGGGGGAAAAAAAGAGTCCATATAATGCATGGTGTAACAAATCCCTGAATTCTACCCGAATTGTCCAGGCTCTGCTACCGTATGAATGCCATTGCCTGTACTGAGTGAATAATGGATAATGAATGTTTCATTCCACACATTTTACTTTTGTTCATGAATTGCCCAGTGGCAAATCACATTAGTCATAATCACTTGCTGAGTAATTTCCACAAATTAGTTTTGGTCTGTAGCTCCATTGCCCACAGTACTTTGTTATTAATCATTATTATAAATTGATTCTTTCATAGGCTGGTTCTGTTAACTTTGAGGTGGTGGAATACCACTTTTTTTTCCCTGGTGGGGTGAAAATAGCTGCCAGTAAAAATAGCCAGCCCTACAGATGAAAATATTTCCGCTGTGAGTTCTGTAAAATTGCCTGAATGTGCATATATTTAACCAATAAACTCATCTACAGTAAGGAAGAAATATAGAAGCCTAAATATACTCAGATCAGCTGCATTCCAGCCTCAAAGCAGCAGGAGGGGGCTCTGGCCCAGACCACTCTTGTCTCAGCCAGGCTGAGCAGAGTTCTCTGTGCCTCCCCACCAGCCCCTCACTGTAGGACTACATCTCTCCAGAACAAGTTACAGGAAACTCTTCATCACATCATCAGCACTTCTGTGTATGCAACTGTTTCTTAGGGCAATATGTTTCTGAGGTCAAAAGAAATGAGGCAGGTGGGGAACAGAGAGCCATGCTCTTTTTTGAGACAGGAGATGGCAGTTCCTGCTTTTCACTGAGTGACAGAGGTAGTAGCAGCTGGCAGATGCCATCAGTTTGTGTACAGCAGTATCTCTTGTCTCCAGTACGTTCCTACATCATTTCTTTCGGTCTCTGTGGGGAAGAAAAATAAGACCCTGGTAACTGCTTCGTACCAGCAGCACTACCCCACATCCTTGG